GGGGGGGGGTCAAGTGAATGGAATCTACCGTCTAGTTGGAATAGGCTAGTAGAGGTGGTACATGGAGGGGATCTCACGGGGATGACGGGGAGGAAGTGGGGGTAGGAAGCGATTCATCCCTTCCATGGTCACCGGGAGCTCCTCATATCGGATAATCTGGTGGAAGTGGGGGAAATGATCGCCGCTGCGGGGAAGGGAAGCGAGGTAGTCGCGATAGAAGAAGGAGAGGGTGCGGAAGAGCGCCGCTCGAAAGACCTCGAAGTGGTGGCAAGCGGGGATTGTTCCCGTGGCGACGCAGTAAACCTCTACCACGTCGCATCGCTCCCATGCAGCGCTGAACAGCAGGAGATGCCAGCAGAACGTGGGGGCAGCGGATTGAAGGGAGGCGTGGGGGTGGGCGGTGGCGAGTAGACGGGTAGAATAGAAGTCGCGGAAGAGATGGGGATGGAAGGGATGGGAAGGGAAGGTGACTGGGGTACGGGTCTGCTCGAGGGTGAGGAAATCAAGGGGTCGGCGGGACAACGTCCGAGGACGAAGGCCTATCGCCCGCATCGGTACGTGGGCGAATTGGGGGACGGGTGGGGCTGGAGGAGGAGGAGGATCGGCTCCGTCTCCGTCGCGCGATACTTGAGGTGGCGGCTGCAGGGTCGCCATCTTTGGGCTTTGGCAGCTCTGGATCCCTGGTTGGATCGCTACTGATGCGCAGGCTAGCTTCGCTGGCGAACTCCAGCTGGCGCTTCCTGGTGGCAATTTCTTCACGCTTTCGCGCCGCTTCCGGATCTTCCGCCTCCGTTCCCGTGCACGTTGCTTCCTCCAGCAAGGCTTCCCACTCGGACCTGGTCCCTTCTTCTTCCTCTCCCTTCTCACTCAGCTCGCCCTCGCTATGTTCACTATAGCTTCCCTCCTCCGATGTTTTTTCGTCGTCGTCGTCTTCTTCTTCGTCTTCGCCGTCGATCACCATTTCCTCTGCCATCGGATAGAAGGCGTGAGGGATGATCTCGTATGGCTTCAGATACTCCTGCCGCGATGGTAGCGTATCCTCGTCCCTAGGTTCCTCCAAGCACGCAGTCCACTGAAGGTACGGATCCAATGATCGCTCGAAAATGTACGGAGCAGGATTGTCGTCACTCTGAAAATAGATGTCGCGCGAGAGATCGTCCGCCAATTGTACAATCGGTGCGATAAGCTCTTGCGCAATCAGGTGGCGTCGTCCCGACCGTACCGATCCGAAGAGAAAGCCAAGAAGATCTCCTTCCGCGTTGGTCCTCCAAGTCTGTATGATCAGCAGCTTCGGATTCTCGATCCATGTGGGATGCTCGCTAGTGCCCGTCCACGTCACCTGTACTCTGGCCAAGCAGAAGGACAGCTCCTCAAAAGTTTCGCGCCACAGTCGCCAATGTCCAGGATTGATAAGAGGGACTGAAAGAGGCTCGAACGAGAAGGAAAGGAAAGGATGAAGATCAGACTGCCAGAAGGTGGGGAAGAGAGAGGGAAGACCAAAGATAGAGAGAGGAGCGAGAAGATCAGCGTGGTTGATTGGGGATGGGGGAAGGGGACGAGGGTTGGGATCGCAACAGGCCGCTCGCGCGGTGATCGGCGGATACCGTCAAGGTCCGATGCAAAGATCGGGATGATGTTATACCCCTGTCGGGCGAGGACGTGCTGCCACACGTTGGACACTTGCTCCATCCACTCGCGCAACGAGGCCAAGATTGCGTATGCCACAACAGATTGACCGAGCTGATGTCGCCGGTGAATGTCGCCACCGTGGTGATGTGGCTCGTCTTGGGACCTGCTCGCCGATGAACTGCGGTTACCTCCGCGAATACCACGGCGTGAGGACTTCCTTTGATCTGGAACGCGGCGGCGGCACAGATACATGAAAAATGCAATTATGTGAAAGGAATTCGCATTAGTCGCAGAAGAATCGCATCAGACGCCGAAGATCCGCATTGAGCCGAGGGTGACAAACTTGCCGAATCTCTGAGATGTGGCCACGTGGTTGCAACAGCTGCGCGTCAAGAATCCGCTCTGCGATAAAACTCATGGCGAGGTGGGAGAGGAGGACGAAGGCCAAGAGGGAGAAAGAGGAGAGAGAGTTAGATCGTCGTCGTTCTCCTCACTTTCCGAGGAAGAAGAGGGAGGAAGATCGGAAGGGGGAAGGAGACGGAGGTAGGAGGTATGCCGGACGATGGGGACAGAGTTATGGCTGGCACTAGCCTCAGGCGCGATGCGCACCGTGTTGGCGCCGTTGGGTCCGAGTTCGACAACGCGAAAACAGTCAGAGAACTTGAGAGCGAGTTTCCGGTCGCGTGCACATTTACGTACCTGCACTAGGTCCCCTAATTCATATTGGTGCTGGGGCCCAGCATATCCATTCCGGGCCTCGTAGCTACGGACCTGTCTACCGTGGGCCAGTTCGGTCATCCTTTGCCTTTTTCGGGATAGCTTTGGGACGGCCCGTTCCATTAATTCGGTGTACCTTTTGGCCTTGGCTTTGAGAGCTGCACGCGTGTCTCTATCCCCTGCTTCGGCAATTTCCGAGTTACCCCGGTAGTCGACACAGGGGAGGCTATTAGTTCGAAACTGAAAGGGGGTAAACCCCGTAGACTCATGAGGGGTGGCCCGGTGGATCCCAACGATCTGATATACAATCTCGGGCCAAGGACGCGTGTCGTGTGCCGCTAAGTTCCTGCGAAGGGCGGTTTTAATCATACGGTTGGCATTCTCGGCCAACCCGTTCGACTGGGACACGTGGGGTGCCGTATGTCGGAGCGTGACGCCCCTTCGCGGAAGTAGTTCTTCTACCTCGCCTTTGAATTGCGACCCATTGTCAGTTAGAATTTCTTCTGTATCTAGATGGGTATAGAGGAATCGTTCGATGTACGTGGTTATTTCTACGGCCTTTCGGGTCTTACAGGGATAGACTTCGATGTATTTGGAAAAATGGTCAATTAAAAACCAACAGGATAAAATATTCACAGCGGTTTGGGCCAGGTGACACGTCGATATCTGTCGTGTCCATACTGACTCGCTGGAAAGGACGCTCTACTTCCGTTGGTACGATCGTGTTTGGTCCCCGTATAGGGGCACGATCAGTGGCACAGACCAGACAGTTAGCGACGATGTACTTGACGTCATCTCGTATATTGGACCAAAACCATCGGTTTTGGTCTACAGTTGCCTCTGTGACACGTATTGCGAAATGAGCGGCCTATTCTTCGTGAGCGGATCGGATCCAATCGTATCTCTGGAAGGGATGGGGAACCGTCAACCACGAACCTGATCCGTCAGTTTTACGCTTTTCCAAATGACCGTTGATCCATCGATAGTCCCGAGATCTCTCGGTTGCCCTTCGTCTGTCGTGTTTGGTGAGGTGGCCCAATGATAATCCCGCTAATTTTGCTAATAAAATTTTATCCGTCCAAACTTTCGCTCGTCGGTATTTTTCATCGTATTCAGGGGCGTCCGTACGGGCGGCCTCGAATCGAACCTCCGTGGGGAGCTTGTTCGTTCTACACAGGGGGCACCTCCATTCCTTGCTACTCGTCCGATATCGAACGCAGGCCCCGTGCGCACGGTTGACACACGAGGCACATTCTACCCAATCGACAAATCCGGTCTCAAAGGGATGACAGTCGACCCCATAAACTCGTGCAATACACATGCAAAAATAACAGAATTTATCGGGAAGGGTGGCGAAGAAAGTCGAGGAAGTGAGAGGGGCAGAATTAGTAGGAGAAGAAGGGGTTGCGGAGGCGAGTGGGGTAGTCATGATGGCAGAGGAGGAGGGGATGCAGGGAGAGCAGAACAGAACAATTAGTCCTTGTGTCACTTACTGCTTTGATAAGATCTCCACCTGGCCGTACCGAGGTCCGGTCTCCTGTTCGGGTTCGTTCCACGGAATTACCTCCTCATTCTTCGGAACTTTCTCAGGTCGGTGCAGGCGTGTCAGTCCGTCCGCATTCCCGTGTCTCTCGTGCTTCCGATGGCGGATGTCAAAGTCCATGCTCTGCAACACCGTTGCCCATCGCTCGATCATGCCCGAGTAATCCTTCGACTTCTTCAGAGCCAACAGGGGCTCATGATCAGTCACCAGGGTGAATTTTCGGTTGTACAGGTAAGCACGAAAGTGGCTGATTCCCCAGAGGGCCGCATAGCATTCACCCGTTGGAGCGGCGTAGTTGTGCTTGCAGGCGGGCACTGATTTGGATGCATACTCCACCACACTCTCGAGTCCGCTTGGTCCCACCTGGGCAAGGATCGCCGAAATCGCCTCTGGCTGCCAGTCGGTGATGAGAACAAAAGGTTTTTCGGGATCCGGTCTTATAAGGACCGGAGCCGAAATGAGAGCAGCCTTGAGTTTGGAAAACGCTTGATCGCACTCCGACGTCCAGATCAACGACTGATCCTTGCGCAACAGATTTGTGAGGGGTCCCGCAATCGTCGCGAAGACCTTGATAAATCTGCGGTAATACGAGGCTAGGCCTAGAAAGGCGCAAACTTGCGTGATAGTCGTAGGCACCGGCGCGTCACTGACTGCTGCCACCTTCTGCGGCTCCGGTTGGAGTCCCTTGTCTGTCACCATGTGCCCCAGGAAGGAAATGGTGGTAAGGAAAAACTGACACTTCTCAAGCGCCACCTTGAAACCTGCATCTCGTAACCCATGCAGTGCCCATTCGATGTGTTGCACGTGTCCCTCGTAGGAACTCGAATACACCAGGATGTCATCCATGTACACAATCACGCAGTAGTTGATGATGCTCTGCATCAGACGAGTCTTCCGTACGAAATTCTGAAAAGCCATGTTCATGGCCCGCTGAAAAGTCGCAGGGGCGTTGCAAATACCCATCGGACATTGAATCCATTGCCACGTACCTTCGAAAAGCACAAACACGGTTTTCGGACGATCTTCTTCTCGGACAAGAAGATGATGGAATCCATGGCGAACATCAAACTTGCTGAAAAATCGAGCACTCCCAATCGCATCCAACAATTCATCAATCCGGGGGAGAGGGTTCTTTAATCGTCATATCATTCAATTTTCGATAATCAATACAAATACGAATCTCTCCGGCCTTTTTAGGTACGATCACTACGGGAAAAGACCATGAACCTATTGCAGGTTCGATCTATCCATTAACTTCGAACTCCTTAATCCGCTGAAAAGTGGTCGCTCTTTGAGCTGGCGAGTATCGATAGGGAGCGCAACTAATGGGCGGATGATCTCCTGTGAGGATGGCATGCTCAATCACATTTGTTAAGCCGATATCATTATCATGCACGCTCAGTACTTCTGCGTAACCATTTAGCACACAGATTAACGACTTTCGGAGTTCCGCGGGAACGTGACTCGGGAGGGGGATTGTTGATTCCCCGGAAACCTTGAGGGGCATATCGACCCAATCGATTGGCCGTTCCCGCCGCTCACCGACACAAGAGAAAACGGAACTACTGGTGCAAACAGAGAAGACAGTTGCTATCATCTGGGACTCGGCGGGGCTGATCATCTCCGTTTCTTTAGTCTCAGCGTCGGTCTCGGAACCAACCGAGGTCGGTTCCACAGTTAGCCCTGTTAGATCCGTTATTTCTTGCATCAGATTAGGTACGTCACTTACCGGTGCTTCCGCCTCTTGTTTAATCAAGGCGATGGTGACTCCTGTCGTTAGTAACGATCTGGGCACAAAAACAGAGACATCCAAATACTGTTCCGTTTGCTGATAACGCGTTCGTAAGGAGAGAGCTCCCTCGTACAAGGTGCGAGGGGGTTCCAAATCATCAGCCAGGTCGGAAACTTGTAATAGGGGTTCCCCGAGGAGGACGAAAGGACTGACCTGGGTTATTAGAGGCGTGAATGCACGGTCTTCGGAATCCACGTGGAAGCTTCGGGCGGTGTCGGGGCACACTTGAAATTCTTCGGGGGTTTCATGTTCGAAAAGTTCAACCAGATGCTTCCATTCTTCTTCGCTAGGCATCTCTTCTTCATGTTCTTGTTCCCTTATTTCATCCCCGAGGTGCGAGGGAGAGCATTCCTCGGGATCAATGTCTCGGATCATCCCTATTTGGGCTGGGTTAGGGACCCGTTTCATCGTTCGGGTGGAAACTCGCAAAGGAACAGTTTGAGGTTTTCCCCCAGTTTGTGTGAGTACCAGTTGCTTCGAATCGAAATGCAGACGTGCACCTACCGCCATCGCCCAAGGTAATCCCAACAACACAGAATAGGAACGTACATCTATTACGAGCGCGTTAACAAGGACGTGTACTCGTCCAACTTTTACGGCCACATTCTCGATAATGCCTACGATGTTCATTGCTTCCTCGTTGGCAGAGACATAGTTGTCTCTGCCAGATTGAGGAAGAATCGATCCAAGTCGTCCCGTCTTTTTTACAGTATCCAATGATATGGCTACTGCAGAAGACCCCGTGTCGATAAGGGCATTAAACGGCTTGCCCCATACTTCACAGTCACATTCCGCACTTTTCCATAGTACCGGCCGAGCTCGTACGAAGTGATATTTTTCTGCTAAAGAGATCGCTGCTATACGTGCGGCTTCAGGTTCGGGTTCTTTTGTGTCTGGCTCGGGGGGTACAACTTCCTCGCTTTCTTCTTTCTTCTTCAACATCCGTTGTATGCGTTGATAGGTGAAACGCTTTTGATTTTTCTGGCAGTGTTGTAGAAGCTTATCGTTCGCCACTTCAGATATGGTGAGCAGATGTCCCACTGGGATGGGCACGCGAATATTTAGTTGCTTGAGCGTTTTCAATACATCAATGTCTCCTGTCTGAAACTGCGGTACAGGATTGGACTCGCGATTGACCCACTCGAGATCATCCGGGACCGATCGGATTGCTCCGATCATGCCTGCAAGATGAAGGTATTCGAGTGGATCGACTATGTCAGCAGCGTCAGAGGAGGAAGCTCCTGATGTCGACGCCAGTGTCGTCGAAGGGGAAGGCTGCTCGGGGGCGTATGCCACGAGTTATCTTCCTTGATCCGTATCCATCAAAGCAGCCACTCGTCCTTGATTAAGGGCGACAGGGGCCGCAGTAGGGGGAGGCTGATTTCGTTTCGGCTGCGGGCAGTCCCGGGCAAAGTGCCCGGGCTGTTTGCAGTTAAAACACTCGATTTTTCCTGCCGGATTAGCTAGATGGGGAAACCGAGGGGCGAATCCTGGAGCAGGCGGAGCAGGTAAGAGTGGAAACGATGCAGGGGAAGGTCGAGCAGGAGCTGGGTTAGGCTTGATGAGCCTGCTCATTACTTGTTCCATTCGTTTCATATGGGCGGTCTGCATTTGGATTAGGTTGCCCATCCATTCGGACTGCTTGGTAGTAGCTGTATGGATCATCTGGGCAAGGTGTAGATTGGTTACGGCCGGCGAGGGAGGTTCGGATGGGGTTCCGCTTCTAACGGCTGCAATCGGTTGATTCACCGGGGAAGAGGAAGGAGAAGCAGTCGGGATATCGGAAGCGATCCCACCTAGAAGGTCATGGTCGACGCGGGGGTAAAACCGTTCGACCGCCTGCAACCATGATCGCCTTTTGGCCGTTACATCCCGTATGGTATCCGTAATGTCTTCATCTCCCTGGCTGATATGTTTTTTGGTATCAGCCAGATCCAGTTGCAATGCCTTAGTGATGACAGTCGATAATGGGTGCGTTTTCGGCGGAACCTTTTTCTGTAATTTCCCTTTCAAGGTCAGATTTCGAAGGTGATCAATAAACAGATCTCGAGCGGATTTCTCGTCTCGCCCGGATTTATCCAGCGTGGTCTGAAATCGATCGACGTAATAGGGCAACAATTCCCCTCATTCTTGGGGTCGATTTTTGAGTACGTACCAGGCGGCATTTTCAGTGATTGTATCGAATCGAGCCAAAAAGGCTGTCTTGAAAATAGCTCAATCTACCCATGTATGTTATCTAAACCAGTCACGCGACGTCTTGCGGAGTAGCAATGTCAGAACGCGGGGGAGATCAGTTGCGTTGTAGTTCTGAGCTTCGACAGCTTCCAGCCAAGCCTCGGGATGAGTATAGTTAGGGAAGAAGGGGAAGGGGGCAGGGATACTAACGATCACCCTAGTACCGTCCACCATTGGTATTGCGGGTGCAGTCGCACTAGACTGAGACCTGGTTACTGGGCGATCCCGACGAGTTAGTTGAGGGTCTCTCCTACCTCTCGCCAGTTCGACTTACTATCATCAGAACCGACACGTGTCGGCTCCGATACSRACCTCACGCCCTGTGCTGTCTTTCGTTCGGAGTGTGAGACGTGCGGAAAGAGGCCCAGAAAAACAGCAAGATGGGGTATGGCAAGGATTTTTGAAAATTGAGTGTGGGGACACAGATGGAACTGAAATCCCCCGTGTAGGTCCAATGAAGCAAGTCGATTAATTTCACGTGTCACGGAATGCGCGCGCGGACATGGCGCGAAAACAGAAAGATCCAAATTCAATCCAAAAAGTACTGTCGGGCTTCCCACCGGGCTACAGCCCGTCGTTTAGAACGGAAAGGCTTTGGCACGCTTCGCGTGTCTCGTTTTCGTACCAGATCTCGTCGTCGTTCGCTGGTTAGTTCCGAGTCCGACGTGGATGGTCTCAACCGAGTGGCGCTTTCCTTATGCTTGTCCGCACTTCGTATTCGGTAGTGGAAGCCCTTCGCTTCGTAGCGATCGAAACGCTGGCACTCCGTACACAGAGTGCGGGGCCAATGGGGCGCCACTGCCGTCCACAGAATGACGATCAACTCGTTTAACGGCAACAATATCGAGTAGGGTGGAAAGTGTGTATCGATAATGACAAATCCGGCGTCTACGAACCCTGAACAACGGTCAGCCGGAGGGAAGTAATAGTGCCCGCCGATTTGTGCGACGGCTTCTCGTACGTCCCACTCACATACACGCGTCCATTCCTCGCTGTAGGGAAAGGGCCGTATGGGGATAGGAGATACGGGAGGCTGGTGCCCAATCGAGGGGTACTTGTCAGTCCACATGTCAATCAATCACAAATATCTCGAGACGTCATTAAAAACCAAAGCGATTCGCGCGACCCTCAATCCATCCTTTGGACACAAGAGCGAGAGCAAAACACACATCCGTTTGATCATGCATATGACCAAGGGACCGATCCGCGGCTCAGTTCAACACAACGTTGGTGCCTTGTTTCTCAAGGCCGCCCGGTGGCTTAGCTGCTGATGTCGTGCAACATAAGGCAGATGGCATGCGCAGTGCATTCAGAAGCACAGATCTAAACACTCTTGCATTCTCGAACAAAATCCCGACGACAATCGTCTAATCAACACGAAAAGAGTCACACGTTTCCATACATGCATTCACTGTGGAAGGTGCGAAAATRAGACATGCACAGGAAAAGATGGATYGCATCGCAYAGTACACACGCATCCACCGTTCACAAGACAAGAAGAYAGGGTCCTTGCGTAGGAGGATTACCCAGGAAATTAATGGAAGAGCTCCGGAAGAAGTTCTTTCACACAAAAACAGGACGCCGACTCATTCCCATTCAAGAGAGGGACAATCATTCAGACGCATCATCATTCAAAAAGAGAGAGAGGGAGAGAGAGAGAGAGTCGAGGGAAAGAAAGTCGAAATAGAAGATGACAAGGTCCGGAAAGATAAAAGTTCGGCGTCACCGCCGTACACTCACGCCAAGGATAACAATCCGCACAAAGGCGCATTCGCCGTTAATTCCACTATGGCCCCGGGCCAATCACTCACTCAACTCCGATCATTGATCCTCATACCCGCACCGACGATTTCGGCCGTCGCGTGCTAACTCCCACCACTGCGATCGTCACCCCGTTGTCGTAAACTCGACATGGTTCGCCCGGATCCCACAGTCCGTC